AAGGAAGTCTTCGAGACTCATTGCTCGTTTCCCTCTGCTTAGTGGTTTCCAGGGTCCCATGGAGTAAGACCCGACCTCAGACCCCGCTGGAAGGATTGTGGCTTCTTTACTGCTTTATCCAGCATCTCAGTCAAAACAGTGGATTTTCCCTAATGACCACAACCTTTATGAGAACACAGAAACAAGAGCGTGTTTTGCTGATGGAGATTTGTGAAGGCAGCGACCACTATACCTACAGGCCTGGGGGATGGGTGCTATTAACAGCAAGAACTGCTGACCAAGCTGTCCTTCCTTGGGGGAAAATACAGAGCCGGAGTGAATCGTGAGAAGGTTCCAACTCAGATTCTACTTAGTGGGAGTTCTTCCTCGGCTTTCTTGCCACAGTGGGAAGAATCTCATCTCTCTCAGGCCGTGTGCTGTCGATGGAGAGTACCAGTTCCTCTAAAGGCCCCATGTCTCCCACAAGAAGGGCCTTTTTTTAGTTTGTACGTCTGTGACAGGCCCGGGCTTCCTCACCTGGTGGGTGTCCAGATACCCATGTAGAATGGTCCTGGAGCATTCTGCTTGATGCTGAGTTCTGTGGCTTATGTGTGTGCTTGAGTGTGTGTGTGTGTTTATGTGTGTGTGTGTATATGCATTCATGTGTGTGTGCACACATGTGTGTGGTGTGTGCCTATGTGTGCGTGTGTGTGGCCACGTGTGTGTATTCATGTGTGTGTATGTGTGTATGCATTTTGTGTGTGTGTGTGTGTGTGTATGTGTGTGTGTTTGCGTGTGTCAGAAAACGTCTTTGTGGAGTTGACTGTCTCCTTACACATTTACACATGGGTACTGGGGTTCAAACTCTTGGACAGCAGTCAGTTTGCCTGCTTAACTGACATGCAGGCCCAGGCTTGCCTTCGGAAGTAAACACCTGGCTTGTGCTTCCATTCCTTGGCCACAGGGCATCTCCCAGTACAGCCCAGGATCAGACTGGAGTGAAAACACGGCTGTGCAAGAATCCCACAGGGAAGAAAAGCCAAATACAGCTTGGTTACACTAAAGGTAATGTCTAGTAAGGGGCTACAGATAGTCCCTCTCTCTCACCAGCAGGGTGCTGGGGTGGGAGGGGGGCTCTTCCCTCTTAAGGAGCAATGACTGGGCATGCTCAGTGGTCAGATGTGCTAGCAAGCTGCTGCAGTGGGAGATACTAGGTTATGGTGGATCTGCACTTTGAACACTGTTGGAGCAAAGCTGCAATCCTCAGGGTCTTGCAGAGTCTCCAACCAAGCAACTATGTGAGGAGATACTTTCCAAGCCCAAAGGAAGGTGCGCTCCCCAGAGTGGAGTCAGCTGAGAGGAGCCACAGCATTTCTGTGGTGAGAGTGTACTTTCTCTGTGTGGGGACATTCTGTGTGTATGGAAACACCCTAGGAAAACACATTTCCTGCTGGGGATTGAGGTCAGCACAGTGGAAAGCCGTGGCCCTGCTCAGTAATAAGCAAGGCTTTTTTTGGAACCAATATGTAATACCTCCTCCACAGAGCCTTGTAAAGGTCTTGATGGCATTACCTAGGTCTGCCAGGACACTGCTTTGCTCTTGTAAAGTTCAGACAGGACTTTGTCCTGATGGCAAGTTGCTTACTGCACTTTACAGAGCCAGAGACACACATAATCAAAGCTAAGATGCTTCCAAGGTTATAGGTCAGTCTCTCAGGGGATTGAGACCTAATAGTAACTACCTTCCTCATGCAGTGGCCCACTCAAGGTGTCCACACTAGCCTGCAAGTGACTCAGCTCTGTCCTAATAGGACCAGTCCCTGGGGCTCATGGAGACATTCTCCCAGAAACCCCATGTTACCTCATGTTTTGTATTCTGAAAGATATTGTTCAAGTATAGCCACATATATGTAATAAATCTCTCTTAGGTTGTACAGCTTGGTTCCCTGAGCCTAATAACCCCCATCTTTAACTAACCAGCTATACTTGATTAGAAGGGCTGGAGAGATGGCTCAGCAATTAAGAGCACTGACTGCTCTTCCAGAGGTCCTGAGTTCAAATCCCAGCAACCACATGGTGTCTCACGACCATCCGTAATGGGATCTAATGCCCTCTTCTGGTGTGTCTGAAGACAGCTGCAGTGTACTCATATACATAAAATAAGTAAATAAATAATTCTTTAAAATAAAAAAAGAGAGATAGTTGGGAACAGGACTATTAGTACCCCCTTCAGAGGAAATATTGATTTGAACCACTCCTCCCAGCTATTTGGATATAAATTATGCTCAAATTGCCCTTGGCCTCATGGTCTCAGGCTGTTGTATGCTATGTAGGCTGGGGAAGGTTCACCTGAGAGGATTGTCTATGCAGCTTTGAGGAAGCCATCCCCCATGCTGCCTTGGGGCTACCTGAGATCCTGTAAGCAAGCCCTCATCCATGCCATCTAAGCAAGCTCAGTGAATTAATTGGCTCAGCAGGGTGAACAGTGGTGAGACTGTATTTGGTTTATCACTGGGACCTTGTGAGGAGGGGGAAGATGTTCCCTTCTCCCCTGGGAAGGGTTTCTCAGCAACACTTTGGTACCAAGGAAAGATGCTTTCTGTCAGGACCTTGCTTGTCCTCTCTGGAGAGAATGTCAGCGATTCATTGCCTGTGGCTCGGGAGGATCCTACAGTTTTGCAGGCAAGCTTTGGTGCGGTGATGCGGTCGTGTTTTGGCAAGCCTGGTGGTGATATGATTGTAGGTGCTTCAGTGGGCAAAAAGCCAGTCTCTGCCGGCTGCAGGAGTTAAGGAGGCTGCTTGACCATTTCCAGAGAGTTGTTTAATTAAGCTGCAGGGCTCACAGCATCAGATGGTCTCCATCCTCATTCAGGAACTCATCATAACAAGTCGTGTCTTCCCTGAGGTTCCTCAGTCTTCCCTAGTGGAATAGTGGGTTCACCTGAGAACAAGACACATGCAGTTCAGATTTCTAAACTTGGCCACAGACTTGTTTTCTGCCTCTGTCTCTGGCATGGGCACACTCTTGGCTACTACTGATCGGACTCGTCACTATGGAGTTCTGTGTATTGGACACGGTTTAATCGGACGGCCCTGAATTGTTACATGTGACTGGCTGCAAGAACAGGCTGCAGTAGATGGATCGAGTTGGGCCTGGTTTCTCTTTGTTGTCTGAGTGATTCCTATTTATCTCTATCTGTAATGCTTAGCCAACCATAGGTGTTTGTTAAAGGGCTATGAATTATTCCATAAATGTGCACTCTCTTTTGGTTCCAGGCCAGGAGTTTACATTAGAAGTCAATGCATGGGTCTCCTGTGTGACCATCCACATGTACAGTGAAGTAATCTTGTGTTTGGTCTGTCCCTGTGAACAATGCCATCTGCCGGGCAGGTGTAGCCCCTCTGGCTCCTTGCCTTTGTGATGTCCCATCCCTGGAGGGACAAGTTGGTGCTGTTGCAAACCTCAGCCACTACCATGTTTCTTGTGACATATTTTCTTCCTTCCTCCCTCCCTGCTTCTCCTCCTTCCTTCCTTCCTTCCTTCCTTCCTTCCTTCCTTCCTTCCTTCCTTCCTAAAACCATTTTATTGGTTCTTTATGAACTTTATTCCACTCACCACAACCTCACTAATACCCCCAATCCCTGCCTTCCAGCCTCGTAACCTCCTCCCCACAACAGAGAAAAAAACCTCACTGTGGAAGCTGTAGTATGTCACAGTGTGCCCCACAGTATACCCTTTGACCACACATTTTTGCTTACAAATATTCATTTTGCTGTTCATTGGTCTGGTATGAGGCTTCTGGCTTCTGCTACTCTATCAATACTGGAAGCTCACTGGGACTCTTCTGGGATATCCTGGTATTGCTCTGTGTCGTGGAGATCCCTTAGTTTTGTATCTGTAGGGCCGGCCCCTTCATCTGCTCCAGCAGTTTATCAAGGGGTCAAAGTCCTGGATCTGAGGCTGAGAGGTGTCTGAGCTGGTCAGCCTGCCAGCTCTCCCTCTCTCATGCCTTCGGAACTGGCTCACCTACAACCCCCATATCCAAGGCAAGTGCTACTGTGCTCCTCAGACAAGGAGCAGGGCCTGATCTCTTGAGTACTGCAGCAGGTTAGGGGCAGGGTCAGCTCTCCTGCCTGCTGTAGGTGGAAGGAAATGAGAAAAGGTGAGTCATCTCTCCCTCACCCCTGTCACCACATGGCAGACAAGTGATGGGGCTGGCTCCCCCGTGCTCACACCTGCAGAGCCAGCTTACCTGTGCCCCCACCAACAGGGTCAGCTCTCCCATATACTGCAGCTGGTGAAGGGTGGGGTCAGCTCTCCTGCACTCATGCCCCCAGGGACAGCTCTCCCATGATGTCTAAGTGAGGAGTGGGGCCAGTTCTGCACAGCACTCAGACGTTAATATGTCTCTGTGTGGTAGCCCTGACCAGAGACTTCCACCTGGTCTTTGTGGTCACAGATGCCCATTACTGCAGGGCCATAGGTCCAGATGTGGCTCTCGGTACCAGCACAGGCCAGGACCCCACTATGGTCCCAGGTAGCATCAGAAGCTACTCATATCATGCTGTTCCTCACCACCCTCAAGTCTCCAGTTCTGCCTCTCTTCATTGTGCCCACTTCCTTCTGTTTCTCTTTCTCTTCCATTTCTCCACCACTTACTCACTCCACTTAGTGGTACTTAGAGTTTCTGAGTGTCTAGAGTCATCTCAGGAGTGGTGTCAGGAGTGCTAAGCCCTGCTCATGCATTATGGTGCCAGGCAGGGGTCATCTCAAGCATGGTCTCTCTGTCACACCAGGCCTACACAGTGCCTGACTTGTGGTCATCTCAGACTGGCTCCCTGTTCAGACCCCATGGCACAGGTCTGGTGGCCCCAGGCAAGGGTTAACTGTCTTAGGGTCACTTCCGCTGAGGTCCCTCGGTCCCAGGAAGATTCTTCTAGTCTGTGGCTTGCTCTTGGACCTGGGAGCTATGGGGGTCTCCACAGTATTGGATTCCTCCTAGGGTTGTTGTTTTTCAGGGAATGTTAGGTTATTAATCATTCAGATGTTCACAGGTCAGAATACTGAGCACAGGCACAGCCTCTCTCCTCTCTGCCACCTGCTGGCACACATGTGACACAGCAGCCACACCTGCAATGCTTCTAGGGGTAGGTTGAAACACATTATTAACTACTTGAATAAAGTAGTAGACCCTTTCTGAAGAATCAGAAGCCAGGTGCATTGAAAGCTCAACTGTTACACGTGCTATCCAGATCCATGCATTTCAGCCTCTGAGGATGTGGTCCTCCTGTGTTTAGGAGCATAGATGTGAGAACAGGTACATAGAATCCCAGCAGGTCTAAAAATGACCACTTATGAAGAAATGTAAAAATACCTATGTTCTCATCTGAGATCATTTTACTGCATCTGCTTCTGCAGATACATGTAGCACACTCAAGTCCAGCCTTCCTTCCCTATCCCCCAGAAGTGGATGAGTACACGGATTCAGCATGGATTTGAGTTAATCCAGACTTCACTTGCATCTGCTGGAAGTAGGAAACCATCTTACCTAAGGGCACAGGGGCTTTGTCCTGTTTATCATTGCGGGGCTTCTGCTTCCTGATTCTGGTTTGGTGGAAGAGTTTTCGCATTGAACCAAATAAAGTTTGGACTCTCACAGAAATGAATGAATGGATACCCACATGAAATGCCATAGGCAATGACAAAAGGTTCAAAATGACATGCTCATGCTAAACTGTGCTGAATATGTCAAAGTAAACTTAGTCGGTATGGGGATTTTAGAATCAGGACGTTGGGTCATCTCAGTGGAGACATTCATGCTTGGTTAGAGGTTCCCTCTTAGATGATCTGGAAGCTAAGGATATAAGTACCACTCCTCACCTGGGACAGCCTTTGGCCATCCCTGGGAGCTTAAAAGGAGTCAATGGAACCTAGGTTAGAGCCTAAAAGTATCGCTAAACAAACTGCATAACGACCTCACTCTGGGTGCCCACCGCTGCCTTTGGAGTCTCTCACTGGAGGAATCTCTTCATGTGGAAATGACTTTTATTGGATTGTCTGTTGCTGACTTTGGCAAGGGTATAAGGAAGCACAAACATTACCTCTGTGTGTGTGTGTGTGTGTGTGTGTGTGTGTATGCTTATGTGCATGCATGTGTATGTGCAAGTTTATGTGTATGCATTCATTTGTGTGCATGTTTATGTGCATGCATGTGTGTGTATATGTTTATGTGCATATATGTGTGTATATATGTTTATGTGCATGCATGTGTGTGTATGTTTATGTGCATGCATGTGTGTGTATGTTTATGTGCATGCATGTGTGTATATATGTTTATGTGCATACATGTGTGTGTATGTTTATATGCATACATGGGTGTGCATGTTTATGTGCATGCATGTGTGTGTATATGTTTATGTGCATTCATGTGTGTGCATGTTTATGTGCATATATGTGTGTATATATGTCTATGTGCATGCACGTGTGTGTATGTTTATGTGCATGCATGTGTGTGTATGTTTATGTGCATTCATGTGTGTGCATGTTTATGTGCATATATGTGTGTATATAAGTTTATGTGCATGCATGTGTGTGTATGTTTATGTACATGCATGTGTGTGTATGTTTATGTACATGCATGTGTGTGTATATGTTTATGTGCATGCATATGTGTATGTGAATGTTTATGTGCGTGCACATGTGTGGGTATGTGTGAATGTAGAATTCAATGCCCAGGGATTTCCTCAATCAGTCTTCACTTCATTTTTTAAAATGTCATTATATTATTTTATGTGTATGAGCTTTTGGCTGCACATCTGCATGTGTACAATGCATGTGCCTGTTGCCTGTGTAGGTCAGAATAGGGCCTCAGATCCCTTGAGACCAGAGTTAGAAACAGTTGTGAGTTTTCATATGAATGCTGGGAAACAAACCCAGGTCTTCTGCAAGAACAAGCGCTCTTAAATACGGAGTTCACTTTTGATCTTCTTACCTTCCCTTTTTTGAGATACAGTCTTTTGCTGAACCTCCAACTTATTGATTCAGCCAGACTGGGTGACCAGAAGGCTCCAGAGATCCTTCTGTCTCTTCCCTTACCAATGCTAGAGCTGCAAAGGCACTGTGGCATCCTGGCTTTTTACATGGGTACACTTTACCAACATAGTCATCTCTAGATCTCACTGTGGTTTTACCAAAACCATGGACTCTATCCATAGATATAAGCTAGTGAGATTATCCAATGACGCCCTCGCTACTTTACAGACCTTTAATCTACTCAAGGGATAAAAGTGACTCATGCTAGACTCCTGTGCTCCCAGGCATCTGTGGCTGTGGGAACAGTGTTATTTATAGCCACAGAGATCCCATCAAGAACAGAGGTAGAACTGCAATGACATGGTTTCCCTCGAATTGGAGTCCTAATACTGCCCTGAATTCTGGGGTTCAGGGAGGGCAACCCGAAAGCAGGCTTTCTTCTCTCAGGACAGCAGAAAATGCTGGGTCATAATGAGATGAGCACATGATTCACAGACTGGGTGAAAATTGTCTTCACCAATCTCACAGCACTCAACTTGTGGCTGGGACCTCCCTCCACTGTAGATGTCAAACCTGGTTTCAAGGTGAACCTAAGACCCACCACACTTCAGGCTCTTTGAGGACTCGGGGTGTGTTGGGGGTGGGGGTGGGGCACACAGTAAAGATTCTGAGAGTCCATGGCTGATTATGTGAGTCAACTCCCAGCTCTGTGGACTTTCTCTGGAACCCAGACTATGGAATTCATTCTCCCTGGCCAGTCCTCCTAAAGAGAATTCTAATAGCCGTGTCTTGAGAGGTACTAAGACTGAGCTGGAGATAGGGTAGAACATATTAAGAGAACACAGCTGGTAGTATAGTGTCAGGGAGTTGTGATTTTTCTACAGTGTTGAACAGAGTAGCAGGCAGGTCCAAGGAGGACTGGTCACCAGACTCACAGGCACCTGCTCCAGCTATGTGTTGACTTTGGATGCCAGCTAGGGCCTGGAAGCTACTGGTCTCTGTCTATCCCCATCCTCTTCAAGGCTTCAGTGCTGACACACTGAGCAGACTGTTCCCACCCCTAACCCCCATCTCCATCCCCACTTCACGTCACTAAACCTCTCTGCTGCCTGTGGGCAACCTGCTTTGCTGCAGACCAGGGGAGGTATAGGTTGGGACTTGGGAAAAAAATGGTTTTCCTGAGTCATTGGGAATGAGCATTTTGGAATGAGGAAGCTATGGTCTATCCAAACCATTGTTCTGTTGTTCCTATTCCCAGAATCCCTTTGTTATAGAACCCAGTTTCCAGTTCTCCTCTTAGCAGGACTTCATGGAGGCTGCCTACTTCCTGGAGTCTTACATGCAACTCTGAGATCAGGGTTCTCAAATTAGAATGCGCGGACTCTCAATAGGAACAGGTTCCTTCTAAAATGTGTTTTCATTTCTGTGAGAACCCAAGTGAAAATTTCCCCATGCATTAGGAAGACTAATTACTTTACAAGAAAGAATCCGCAACGCAAATATGCCCTTCCCACAACACGTATTTTTAGCTTCTTAGGTCAGCGCTCCTCAGACTGGAACCTAAAAATACATTCCCAGAATGCCCTCTGTTTTCTGCAGAGGTGGAGCAGTATTCTAGCCTGAGAAGTGGCTCTGCTAGAGTCCAGCTGCCTGCCTCCAGGAGGAAAATTCTGAGCACACAGAGCCTGGCTCCCTGCAGACATCCACATGCCTGGTCCTGTTTAGGCTGCTCCATCGCTCCTGAGCATGTGGGTGCCCAGAGCACCCCATGCCTTTCTTAGTTGTTATGTCCCCATTGGGTCAGAGATCACTCTATTGATTCCAGGAGGGGTACATTTTTGTTTCTTTCCTGCAAATGCTGACACACACACACACACACACACACACACACACACACACCATTGTACCACCTGTCCCTTTCTGAGTCATTCTTATATAGTGGTTCTCTTAGAATCTCTGGGCAAAGGAACAGGTGTTGGCCCAGTAGATTCAGAAGGACAGGCTCTCTAGACCGCTTGCTCAGACTAGCATCATTGACGGGGCGTGTTTCACATGGATCACACTGCCTGAAACCTCCTTTAAGCTCACTGCCTCATGTATAACTAAATCTTGCTATCTTTCAGGACACAGCAGGGAGAATTTCCTCTAGAAATGCTGGCCAGAGTAAATGGGTTCAGAGTGAATAGTCAGGGCTCCACAGAAAAATACAAGGCACTGGGGACTGACTTACACAGTAGGGTCATGGAGCCCTACTATGTGGGACCTAGGAGAGTAGGAGATGTTCACCTCTGAATCAGGATGGTATTTGGAGTCAGCAGATAGAGGTCCCAGTTGCAGGGTAACATTACTGATTCCCCCATGAGGGCACCTGTCGTCTTTGCAAGGGTAATCTTCACCCAGTCTGTGGATTCACAAGTTCATCTCTCTCCAGGAAGAAGCAGTGTTTACCAGCTAAATGGCATGTGTCACACACCAGTCTACAAGCTAGCAGGAGCCAGCAGCATACTGCCTGCTGTGTTGTGTGAATATGCCCCATAGCATGTAAACAAACAACATAATCGAATGCACCCTTCAGTTCAGCAGACAGGGAAAAGTTCTGGAGGTCTCTGAAAGCACCTTTGGTTTCTCTGCCCTAGGAGGTGCAGTCCTGGGTCTTGGTATCAGCGCATGGACTAAGTTACTACAGGACCAAGGATGCAAACCATATAAACATGCTGTGGGTGTGAGGAGATGAGTTCTTGGTTTTGGGTTCATTTTGATGGGTTCTGGGATGATCTGCAATCCTTCTGACATAAGTAGGTGAGTGAGTTCCTTCAGACTTTGCCTACCTTTCAGTGGACTTCGTGCAATGGCTGCTGTCACCTCTTCTGGGCCCTAGCTTGTGCTTTTTCTCTGTGGCTACTGTGTGTGCTCGGGTCCTCCATTCTTTCTGGGGGTGGGGAGGCATCTCACCTGTGTTCCTCCTGTGGCTGATACTTATAGTTCCACAAGTAGACAGAGGTCATGGAGAATGGAAGGAACCAGTCTATTGAAGTAGGTTTGTAGCACGTTAGAGGCATAGAGAAGCCCTGGCAACTGTCAACCCCAAATCGTCCTGTTGCATGATATTTGATCATACTG